ATATATATTTTATTTGTATTTATTTTATTTATTTTTTATAAACTTTTTTAATTTTTTATATTAATGTTTTTTTGTTTTTTTTATTAAATATTTGTATTTTATAAATGACTTTACTTTTAGGGGCTTCGGGGAAATGTTAGGGATCTAAACAGACCCCTGATGTTTTCCTTTTAAAATAGAAAAAGAGATTGATGACACAGAGTCCTCAATCCCTTTTTCTGCAGCCCCTGTTATCAATGAACAGGAATCCTCTATACTGAGTGTTCCTGATCACTCATAACATGAGGACAGAGTATGTTTACTATAACCACAATCATGAATGGACAGAAGGTGATGTAGATCACTTCCCATTCATTCATAATTGAGGCTATAGTAACCATGCTAAGACCTCAATTGTTTACAAACACTCAGTGATCACTGACTGCTTGTACCCACTCTCCTTCCTGGCACGCTGTCACAGGAGGCTGAGCGAGAGGAGCTCAGTCTGCTGTGACAGCGCTGGCTGTCTCAGCCCACACCACTCTCCCGATCTGTGACAGGAGGCTGAGCGGTGCGGGGAGGAGAGACGCCGGCCGCTCACAGCGCTCTCCTCCCGCAGTGCTCGGCCGCCAGTGACAGTTTCCCTCCTCCCTCCTGGGACACAGAGCGGCGGCCAGCGGAGAGGAGCGAAAGAACGGATGCACTGCTGTATTGGCCAGAAAATGGCACTTTCTGCATTATGCCAAAAGTGCCATTTGCGGCCGATATCGGTGCATCCCCACTTACAAACCATTGCCCAGTTATTTATTTAATGACATCGTGCAAGAGTGTGGTGAGACATCCGGCCATCATCTGAGCTATCATAGCCCCACAGGGCCTGGTCATGTACTCTATTCTCCAACTTGCCTGATCTTTAAATGTAGCATGGGTTCAAAAGCAACCTGTTCTCCATAGAAAATCAAGGCATTGCTTCTGGAATTCATACAAATGTTTTTCATGCACATCCTTTTAGATTGTAAGCCCTCGGGGGCAGGGCCCTCCTTACCATCTTGTCTTGATTTGTATTGTGATTGTAATGTTTTCCTTATATTGTAAAGCGCTGCGCAAACTGTTGGCGCTATATAAATCCTGTATAATAATAATGATGTACAATAGTATTATCTAGGAAAGCTCTAATGACTGAGTGTTAAAGGCGATTCTTGAATTGGGTCATGCATGACCACCTTAAAGGGAACCTATTAGGATAGAAACATAGGAGCTTACATTACTCACTTGTTTATGAAGATGCAGGCTCTGGAGCTTTAATCCTCTTCCTTTCTTCACTATTTAACTTATCACTACCCTGGAACAAGCACATAGCCAGACAACCTAACACACACATTAGACTGACCAGGTAGTGAAGTAAGGATAATGATGACCGCTCTGGGATGTGCAGATTCTAAAGCAAGTCAGTAATAGCAGCATCCAAATCTCTACCCCGGACTAGGAGATTGTGTGCAGAGAAAAGCCTTATTAGATCATTTTTGGTGATAATTGTCCTGTGTATGGGCTGCCACCATCATGTGTGGAAAAAGGATAATCTTCAATATTAAACATCTCTTTGGAGTATGTGGTTCTATTACAAGTTAATCACTGCTTCCATTGCTGCTAGAATAATATGAATGATGGAAGCTGAATGACTGCATTTGTCAGGCTTTTCCATCACTGTGGATAGCTAAGTGTATTGCAGACTCAAACAGCAAAGATGGGGGCCAAAAGATTGGACTGCCCTTGTTAGCCAGCCAATCAGATTTCAGTTTTCACTAATATGACTACACTACATTGTTCTTGGTTGATTTCAGATTGGTGCAATAGTCTACTGATTTGTGCTGCAAATGTAACCTACTTATTAAATATATAGTTATTGTGGCGGGCCGAACCAGTTACTTCAGAGAATACTGCCTGTGAAAGAGAGACGAGGATTTATAGACTGTGTGTTTATAACAGAAGATTAGCATACCAATAAAATAAAACTGTATCTCTGATATATTCTATAGAGTCCACAATATGGATGATGAGTATGGGTAAATCCTCTAAATGTCACTTAACTTCCCACTTTCTTTTTCAGCTGCTGAATGCAATGGTGGCAAAACTAGGCAACCGGGATGACCCACTGCCCCAGGAAGCCTTTGAAGGGGTAGATGAGGATGAGTGGGTGAGTGAATTTAATGGCAGTGCATGTTTATTGTAAGCTTAGTTTTAAAACAATATTGGAGTTGATATATCTATCTACATAAAAATCTAAAGCATTTTATATATATATAACTGGGGAAACTCCCCCCGAGACTGACAGGTACAGGAGTGCGTGGAGGGGTTTGAGGGAGACAGTCATCTCAGTGGAGTTCGGTGGGCAGATCACATTGAACACATCAAGCTGTATTCAGGAAGGTGCCTAATATTTTGAGACTTTCCTATTTTCAATGTAAGCATGTGTTCCCTCCCTCCCAGAAAGTGTCTAATGATTTTCGGACTGCACTGGCTAGCTCCGGAATTCTTTACAAATATAACCTGCAATTTATTAAAGCAGAACTCCAGGAAAACTATTCTTAACCCTTGCAGCGGGGCTACCCCTGCACTGCAAGGGTTAGGTGCTCATTTTTGTCTAGGGTGGAAAATAACAAAGTTATACTCACCTGATCCCCAGCACCAGCCGGCTTTGACAGTGCATAATCCAGCCTGTCTCCTAGTCCACTGCAGCAATGGTATGTCCCTCCGCACAGGGTTGGATTTACTCTCTCTGCTCAATGCACCCCCCTGTATGCAGGCTGCATACAAGTGATCTCGGCGATTTCGCCGAGATCAGCTGTACAAAACAAGTGGCGGCTTCCCTGCTCTACATTTAGCCCTGCTTTCCCAAACTGCATGTCCTGGGGATCGGGAGATAGGAATTCCCCCCCCCCTGCTGCCCTTCTACTCCCTGCTGCCCCGAGGCCAGGCCTCCGTTGGCCTTGTGGGAAATCCGGCCCTGCCTCCGCATCCCCATGTCCTATACACACTGTATTGGACATGATGACTCATGGACCTTGGACTGCTGCAGCGAAGGCTCCAAGGACCGGTCTAACAGCAAGCTGGCTCCAAGGATCAGGTGAATCTAAATGTTTTCCTTTAGCACATAGACCAAAACGAGCAGTTAACCCTTGCAGTGTGGGGGTAGCCCAACTGCAGAGGTTCAGAAAAGATTTCCCCAGAGTTCTTATTTAAAGCGAAACTACATCCATAACTTTTCTTTCTTTTCATTTTTTACTTCTGTAGACGTTCTTGAAGGGTTAGAATAAGGTTAGGCAACCTTGACACACCAGTTGTACTGTAACTACAAATGCCATCATGCCTTTGCCTCTGGGAGTCATGCCTGTGGCTGACAGAGTCTTGCAAAGCTTCATGAGACTTGTAGTTCCAAGGTTGCCCCAATCCCTGGGTTAGAACCTCTGGTAGGTTTATATCTGCTGTGGCCTGGCTATGGAGATTCCCCTCACTTTCTGTCCCGTTAACCACACAGGAAGTTGTACAAAATCTCTCCGCTGAGGACACTGACCTCCGTAAATAGAGAACGGGGTGCTATCCCCTCCCTGCTCTATCCAACACTAAAAATAGATTTCCAATAAACATGAGTATATATTAGAGGTACACTTAAATGAAAATTTCAAAACCGAAATAAGTCAGGCCGAAAACAAAATCGAAAATGTTTTTTATTTTAACTTAGGAGATGTAGATCACTTCCCATTCATTCATAATTGAGGATATAGTCACCATACTCTGTCCTCAATTATTTACAAACACTCACTGATCGATGAGTGTTTGTACTCTGCTCTCCATCCTGACACACTGTCACATGACACTGAGCGAGCGGAGTTCAGCCTGCTGTGACAGCGCTGGCTGTCTCCGCCCACACACCGCTCTCCTCTGATCTGTGCCAGGACGCTGAGCGGTGTAGGAGGAGAAACAGCGGCCGCTCACAGCGTTCTACTCCTGCAGCGCTCAGCCGCCTGTCACAGTTTCTCTCCTCCCCGCTGGGATACAGAGCAGTGCCCAGTGGGGAGGAGAGAATAGGATGGATGCATCGGTGTATCGGCCAGAAAATGGCACTTTCGGCATTATGCCAAAAGTGCCATTATCGGACGATATGCTTCGGCGGCTGATATATCGGTGCATCCCTAGTATATATCATATAATACTCCACATGCTAGCACATTCCTGTGCACACACATTAGCTCACATAGAGCTGCAGGTTTTGGCTCACAGGTCTGTGTTTTGTCTCTTTCAGGATTAGTGGTGACCCCTGATGCTCCCAGCTGCCTGTTCACCTCTTCCCCCTCTCCCGTGTAACTGGAAATGGCTCAGAAGGCGGTTCAGCGAATACATTCCAATCCCAGGGAAAAATAAACTCAGGCCAATTGTTTACACACTCCCAGCATTCCTGGCCAGTCAGAAGCCGAGCTGCGCGCAGCTTGTGCACCATGCACACAGGCTTCACCAAGGGACGGTCATCTGACCTGTGAGATCATTTTACAGTGTTTGCTTGTCGTGTACAAGAACATGGTGCAACGTGATGTTATAAGCACAGATGTCATTTCCTTATTACCTCCTTCATCCTTCTTAACAGTTTACAAAAGCAGACATCTCTAATAGTTCCCTTGCATGAGGTATTCGGCTCTGGACCAGACTAGCTACTTAACTGGATCAGTCCACCCAAAACTGATACTGAATCAGCGACCAGACTCTTATATGATGGGATTCTGGCATCAAGATCTTGATCATCAATCATTCAATTTTTTGCAAGAGCTTCTTTAACACTCTATTGATTTTTTAGTTAAAAGATAACTATTACCCAACCTTTTTTTTTGCCATAGTTCTCTTTAGGGTCACAAGAGGACATATACTAATGTCCTCCTGTGACCCAAAACTCAGCATACAGCGAGCTAGCGACACACGTTGGCTCTAATTATGGGAATGAGTGTAATTCATAATTCTCCTTTAATTTTGCATTACTGGGATGTTATTTGTAGATCTTAGAATGGATCCTTCTACATATTAAGAAAAGGGAATGACTTGGTGTGTCCACTGATAAGTAACTGAAGAGGCCCTGTCCCCAGACCAATAATTTCTACTGGCCCGATTTTCCCCATCCTCCTGGTTGTCCCGCAAAATTTCCAGGTCTTCCATTTCTTTCTCATGTCCCTCTAACACCGTCGTAACATCATCCATGCAGTGTTCGCAGGAACGAGTGCGCTGGTTCAATTCTGTAATCTCCCGTAGTAACTCGGTGGAGAGCTTTTTTGAAGCAGTAGAGATCTCCTCCCAGACAATGGAGCGAAAGTGACCGAGCAATGCTTCATCTACGGGATCCCGAGTGTTGCAGAGCTCCCAATTGCCCCAAGCTGCCATCTAATGAGGCTGAATCTCCCGAGGAGAGCCGCGTGTCATCGTTGGCTCCGGGAGGTTCCAGCGCCATAAGAGGTTATGTAGGGAGGAGAGGGGAAGGACTGGAGGAGTTAGGCCAGCACAGACTATAAGTAGATACTTCTAGAAGAGGAAAGGACTATGACCTGCAAGGAGGGACGGGGCTGTTCTAGGTAACTGACTCTTCCTGAAGACGTCAAATTTGCACGCAGAGGCACATTGCAAATGTATAAATAATTTATGGAAAGGGAAAACACTTCATACTTCATTTTTCTGTGCTTTATGGCCATTTTTTTAAAGTTGGTGACAGGGTCTCTTTAAAGAGAACTTGTCAACTAAGCACAGTGAAGACAGCCACTTTGTATACTGCTTCAATGTGCAGAGTGACTTGGTGACATCACTAGTTCCTAGTGAATAAATATACATATATAGCTTCACGTATTCTCTGTATCAGGTCACACACTGGCTACTTTTACTTTGCATTGAAGAGAGGCCTCATTTTAAAAGAATCTATAAAGCGAAAATCATGAAAGCTGCCATTGTTACTTTTTTTTTTTTTTTTAAAGCTACAAACTGAAGGACTATCATGCTGTTTCTGTCTTTGCTATTTAGTAAGTCCCTTGACTAGGGAGACCATATATGTGCAATAAATAATGGAGCACCAAAGGTTTAGATTAAAAGGAGGATCCGTTCCTTTCTTCTCCATTATCTATTGCACTTTAAGTTTTCATCCAAAGTCCCTCCAATGGTTGGCAGGCACAGCAGCCTTATAACCACACTTGCATCACAAGGCAATTTTCCATTCCCAAGTAGTACAAGAATAAAGATAATGCCTAAAAGCTTGCACCTTCAAAAACAAGTCAGCAATGGAAGCAACCATACTTTGGTGCCATGGTCTCTTTAAATGGTTATTCCATTCAATGCTAATGTAATGAGTAACTACTTGGGAGTTGAATTGCCTTATGTCTTGTCACATTTTGTGCACTTCACAGGTAAAGTCTACCTGCTGGAGATCCTGGTTCTTCCTCCCAGCCACGGAGGCTCACTACTCTTGTTGCAGGATGAGCAGTCTTAAGGTGCCCATACACTGTGCGATTATCGCACGATAATCGCGGGAAATCCCGCGATCGTACGATAATCGCAAAGTGTATTGAAGGCGTGCGACCGTTTTTACTGTACGGTCGCACGTCTTTTGTCTTAGGAGCATGCTAGAAAACCAGCCGAGAATTTTACGATTTTCGGCCAGTTTTTAGCATGATCGTAAGATCAATGCCGCATGGGCTGGTGTGCGCACGCGCACACTGCCCGTTCAGCATTGCGGTCATCGGAAGCCCGCCCCTCAGGGGGGCGGGCTTGCGATGATCGCAAGTACGATCTGCCTGTCCAAGATGTGCAGATCGTACGTTTTTTTAATTACTTTACAACCATCGCAAGACTAAGGACTTGCGATGGTTGTAAAGGGTATGGCCACCTTTAAGGTGCACTGCTCAAATTTTGACCTGCCAACTCAGCTGAAAATCAAGCTGTGGATGACCCAGTTGGCACCACTCCAGCCACGGAGACTCACTACTCTTGTTGCAGGATGAGCAGTGTTAAGGTAGCTATGCACGGCTCAAATTTTGACCTGCCAACTCAGCTGAAAATCAAGCTGTGGGTTACCCAGTTGGCACCACTCCATTAGACAAAATTTGATTTTTCAATCAACTTTTGTTAAAGGAGTTACACCAAAAATTGGCGGCCAAACAGTCACTACAGCAGGCGAGTATAGCTGTGGTCTCAGATACTAACCGCACCAGAATCCTATATGAGAACCTAAAGGGTGTGCAATCCGGCCTGCACCTGTTCAAAGGTGAAACATCAGTTTTGGGGGACTCACATTTTACTTATCTAGTCTGAAATTAGGGAACAAGTCTCACGAGATGTCCTGGTGACTCCCTGTCTAATGTTTACCTGCCATGTAGAAGCCATACACTTTACTAACACAGGGATTACCGGTGGCACTGCCAAATCTTCCCTGCGGAGCAGGGTCTGCCTTATACTTCTAATAAAATTGTCAAAATGTCACTGTCTCTTGTCTCTGTGGATATTTTTTTTTAGAATTCTTCAATGGGCATCGGTGGTACTACACAAAATACTGTTTACAGCTGCACTTCACTGTGTACATCACTTTACATGGCTGTTAGACCAACCAATGGCAGAGCTATAGCCAGAGTAGACCATGGGCCTAGAAGCACAGGGGGTCCCAGTACTATGTGGCTACACACAGGAATTGCTTTTAGGGGTGGGGGGAGGCTATCACACATAGTTCGGAGCCTGACAGTGATCAACATTTCAGCTAAAGCAAACTTTTAATGTAGTTATAACTGGACTCATGGCTGTAAGTGTCTACGGCTTAGTAGAAAATGAAAGGGGAAAGGGTGATGATTAGTATGAAACACAGACTTTCAGACACTTTTACAAGGGCAGCTGACTGTACATCAGATTGACTGTATTCCAGCACTGCAAGGGTTAACTCAGTTTTTGCCTAGGGGTATTCTGTAAAGGACTTTTACTTACCTGATCCCCGCTCCCCTAGTTTCCTAAACCTGGGCTCCCTGATGTCATCACATACAATGCAGAGGCCATAGCCCTGCACTATATGTCAGGGCGCCAATGGATGGTCTACTAGCTGGAGCGGAGACAAGGTGAGCACTGACTGCCTGAGGGGGAGCGGGGATCAGGTCAGTAAAAGTCCTTTACAAAAGAAACATAAGCTAGCAGTTAGCCCTTGCATTGATAGAGCAGCCCCCCTGCAAGGGTTTGGGGTGTGTTTTTTTTTTTTACCTGGAGATAGGCTTTCAAACGGCAGGTCTCACCTCCATCACTAATCCCTCAGATGGTAAAAAGGAATGGATTTGCACGGCTCCGCCCACTTTTCTAAAATAAGGAATAACATTTTTATTTTTTGTATGTGTTAGGGAAGTTGAGACATGCAGGTACTGACAGTAAAAGCCTCTGACTGCAAGAAATTCAACATTGCGGAGCTCAGAGTGACAAAATAAAGAACAAATATACTGTACATAGCCTGATGTGTGCTAAAGATATCGGTGAGCAAAGTTTTAAAAGTTACCAGTAGGAGGTTTAGTCCTGATCATACGGGGTGCCAAAATATCTGCATGTGTGGGGAAAAAACACTCGTGGCCATTTACACGGAACATGTAACAGTTACATACATGTAGGAATGTTTTCTGGCAAAAGTGGGTGCTTCTCACATGTCAGGATGCATCAAATTCAGTAAGCAATCACATGTAGGATCTACAGCAAACTCCCCATTATCTGGACTGGCATCCACAGAGATTGGTAGGTTCCGGATGAATGTAATTTCTGGTTGCTTGAGAGTTACTATTCAAAATAGGTCTAACTAATGCCATACCCCATATTATACCATATCATAACATAAACTCTGTAATGTCTTTAATATTGAAATGAAGTAATCAAAAGCAAATGAAGACAAATAGACACACGGTCATTTCCAGGATAATACATGCTCCAGATCAGCAGAACAATGAGTACACAGGGGATGTTTTTTTCTGTTTAGATGAGAGTTCTGGTTAGTTGAATACTGGATAACAGAGAGTTTACTGTATAAACTATTGGTGGCACAGAGTGGGAAATTGTAACATATTATGTGCAACATTGTCACAAATTGTGACAAATTATCTATTATGTCGCAGTGACCTTACTTTAAAAGTAGTCCTGCACCATCTACTGCTTGGCACACTAATGCTGTTATTCTATGCACATAAAACATGTGGAACCTTTTTTTAGCAGTCAATTCAACTTTTTAGAGAAATGTTGCAAATATTTTCCTATTTCTTACTAGTGATGTGCTGTGGTGAACTATCAGCGACATTAGAAAAGTGCAGATTGCAACATTTTTTACTGGTGCGACAAATAAACAATGATTCACAATTGCATTTTCCTATTGAATGCAACATGTGCGTCAGAAATAATGTTGTGCTTTGGTGCAAATCTAGTTCGCCCAAGCTCACGCAGAACTGTGACTGACACCACCCCCTCCTGCGCCAATCCATTGCAACAGCAGCATTCCCTTCCCGGCAGCTACGCGTCACAAAGGGGAGGGGAATCCCTATGCTGCAAGTGATTGGGCTGGGAAAAGGGAGTGCCAGTCACAGTTTTGCGGAGACTTGGGCAAAACTGATTTGCACTAAGTCCCTGCACGTCATTATTTGTGACGCACACGGGGCATTCAACAGGAAAATGCATTGCAAATCATTGTTTATTTGTCACAGTAGTAATAAATGTTCCAATCTGCACTTTTAATGTTATTGATAGTTTATCAGGTCCAAATTTTAACATTAAGTGAACCATATATACCTGACATACCAATATCATTGACTAGGTGTTTAAATTGATATTCTCATCTGGTGTCGACATTTTCCGGTAACTGTTGGTATATGCACCGACTTATGGCCTATTCCCCCATTTCCCATGGAAGGATGTAAAAGACGGGGTCCACTAGCACCTTTATGGCTAAGATGGCCGGATCCGCTCTCTGGTGATATTAATGTTGACATGGCCAGTGTGTCCTTTGCTCTTTATGGCCTGCATGAGCAAAGGTGTCTCATATTTCCACTTGTCCCTCTTCCCCCTTCTTAGGTAGTTGGAAGGTTTGTATAAAAGAGAAAGGAAATTGGAGGAAGAAGGCACAGGGGTACCTATCCCCCATAAAAGGGACCTGTGTGAATAGGGGGTCTCTCTTCATGGCAGACAAAAGGTGCCCTTCTAATTGTATTCTCTACCCCTCAACACTTAATTATGCCTCTGCTTCTAAATAACCATTATAGGTATATATTGTTCTATCTAAACCCCTCTCATGCCTCACATTGCTGCTCCCCACATGTCACTGAGTTCCTGCTGCTTTATACTACACCATTTTTTTTATTTCCTAACGCGTATTGCATTTTGCCAGCACTCTTGCCCTCTTTCAAGATGGCGCTTCCAGATGTGACGCAGATGCGTTCATTGGCCCAAAGTCACGTGTCAATGTGATGCAATCAAGGTCCGGAGGAGTGATAGAACACCGGTCGCGCACACAGCTGCGGTAACCTTGACAGTACGGGGCAGCATGGTAAGTGTCACGTGTGCCCTGTCGTACCGGGGCTTCGGTCACGTGTTTAAATAGAGGGGGGTCGCCGAGTCATGAGGCCATATAGACCGGCAGAAGAGGTAGAGGCTGTCCTGGTGCTATAAAGGGATGTGTAGCTGGGGCAGACAACATGGGAATGTCTACCTGTGAGGAGCTACAAGCACCAACATGCCCCATAGGTCAGATGCTGTTATATAGACACTGACCGGGCCTGCTGTGACTTATGGTTCCCTGGCCCCTGGAGCGCCCCAGGCTGTGTGTTGTGTAACAGCTGAGTGGTAACAGGCCTGTGTTCACTGGGGTCACTATATAGGGAATGGTGACATAGGAACAGGGCATTGGTCCATAGACATTGTAGGCCAATCCTAGGACCCTAGGCTTATTCCTCCAGGACGTTGCATAAACATGTACGCTGAGCTTGCCCCGGTGTGTGTGTTTATGTGACTCGAGCCGGGCGTGTGAGCTTATACCTCCAGCCCCGGCGTATCACCGAGCGGCTGATGACCAGAAATGTCCAAACAAACAGGGGATAGCGCCGGACCCGCGGCTTGTCCTTTTAGTGTTGGTACCTCGCTGAGGTAGGCAAAGCCTGGCCATTCAGAAACTACAAATCCCGCCATGCCTCTGGGAGTCATGCCTGTGACTGCCATAGCCTTGCAATGCCTCATGGGACTTGTAGTTGCCCCACAGATGGAGGGCCGGAGATTGCCCACCCCTGCAAGAAGCTTCCCACGGTTTCTTTTTAGTGCTATGCGATTGAAGCGCTGACCCACAGACTAATAGTCCAGATACAATTTTATTCCTGCGTAGGAAGCCAACGCGTTCCGAGGTCCAGAGGATCCGGGTTCACATGGAAAATCATTGTTGACCTGTTCTTGAAAATACTAGTTGACTGGCTGATGCTCTGCCTTCAGTCAACAACGCCGAACAAGAATGAAGGAAAGTCCTGATCTGCATATTTCTTCCATGTCAGTGGTTTAAATCTAAGGAAGCCAGGGGATCAGGATGACAGCCAGGGAACTAGTATATGCAGAATTAGGGGGGTGGCAATAGCAGCCTCCATGTTTCTATTATAAAGGTTTCCTTTAACGGAGCCGGGGCGCTCCGTTAAAGGAAACTACAAACCCCATCATGCATCTGACTCTGGTAATCATGTCTGTGGCTGTGAGAATCTTGCAATGCTTCATGGGACTTGTAGTTCCACAACAGCTGGAGTTTGTCTACCCCTGATGTATAGTGACAGCCCCCCATATACCCGGGCAGATGACAGAGGAGTGTATTAGCAGAGGCTAGTTCAGTGAAAGCGGAGTGTTCCGGAAAGACCGGGAGGGGGACTCTATACAAATCTAGATTGTAAGCTTGGCTCCGCCCTCTGCCACCTCCTGACCTTTCTTATTGGTCAGTAAGGCTGCCAATCAATAGAAGATGCCAACAAGGGAGAGTATGAGCGGGCCAAGCTGGCCAGAAAAGGTTGAGATTGGCATAAATCTTCAGCTTCAGGACCTTCACTGCCGTCTCTAATAATAATAATAATTTCCTGTCTGTATATAATATATATCATGGAGATCAGCGCAGATCACATCTCCTATATGGGGCCCACAGATGGATAGTGGAGTTCATGTTCATCTGCCGCATTCTGTTGGCAGGCGTCCTGAGATTTGAAGGTCTGTTCTAAGTTTTTATAGATTGTGACCCTGGAAGTGTCTCTTTATTTAATTTATAACAAAGTACAATGTAAGCCGCCCCTTTGTTCCGGAATGTTCTCTGCTTTCCGGGATCTTCATATTGGGAAGTGTAATATAACAAGGTTTTGTATTCTAATGGGGAAGCTGGTGTTCTATCGAAAGCTCCAACTCGTCGAAAGCTCAAACGACCTCACTGCCATAGGACTACATAGCCCATCATGTGTTGCTTCCAGCAAGCAATGATGATGTTACATTGTTCAGACCTGGAGTTGTAGTTCAGAAGGCAGGTGTTCTATCGAAAGCTCCATCTCGTTGAAATCTCCAACTACCTCACTGCCATGGGACTACATAGCCCGTCATGCGTTGCTTGCAGAAAGCAATGATGATGTTACATTGTTCCGACCTGGAGTTGTAGTTCAGAAGGCAGGTGCTCTATCGAAAGCTCCATCTCGTTGAAATCTCCATCTACCTCACTGCCGTGTACTTGCAAGTTGGAGATTTCGACCAGACAGCGTTAGACTGCAAAACACAAAGACCGGCGGAGCTGTGTACCGCTGCATTTTAACAATATTCAGCTGATGGCAAACTCGACGAGTATTCTGAAAACTCTGCGCGCATGCACACCGCAACTGTACAGAGCTCCAGTCTTTCTGAGCACTGGAAGTGAGGTAGTTTGAGATCTCGACGAGTTGGAGCTTTCGATAGAACACAGACTCTGTGTATTCATCTCTCAGACAGTATAGAGTGATTTGTGGTTAAAGCTGAACTCCGGCCTGTCCTTAAAGGGTGTCTATGGTGAAGAACTGAAAATAAATCTGTATTTCTATACTCCATCTCCATAAGTTCTATCCCACGCCTCATAATCTGATCCATCTAGAAGTTTGTAAACGTATAGAAGATGCTCATAGGATGGACTTCCTCACGAGAGCCCAGGGGAGAAGAGTCTAGCAGCCAGGTGGGGCAGAGGATCAGGTGAGTATACCTGCTTCATTATATTGATGCAACCACAAATCCCATGAGGCATTGCAAGACTCTGACAGCCACAGGCATGACTCCTAGAGGCAGATGCATGATGGGATTTGTAGTCACACCACAGCTGGAGGGCTGAGTTTGCTTACTTCTGCCCTAGACAGAACAGGCAGTAAACTCTTGCAGCACCGGGGAAGCCCCCCTACAAGGGTTCAGCGTTACAAATCCTGGAGTTCTATAATGTTTCCATCTTTGGTGGCACACTTGTGTTTTGTTACACTGTACATCGTATTATGACTGTAGTTCAGCATGACTTTAATAAAGACGCGGTTTTTAGGATACACGCAGCGTAAAGGGTAATTGGGAGCGTCAGTGGTGTATTGACATCTTATCTTGCTGTTTCCCTACAGGCGAAGTACTTGGCACAGATCATGATGATGGGCGCACAGGTGATAGGGCGAGCGTTCACAAAGGCTCTACGCCAGGAGTTTGCAGGTAAATCTTCGGAGTCTAGGACGGGAGGTCTGATATTTTGTGGAGTGATGCCGTGTAAACTGCGCCGTCATTGAGGCCGCGTTCACACTTTTTACGTTGCGGCAGCATTTAGCTAAACGCACACATTACCGCAATGCTTCTTCACTGTGCACTTCGATGTGAATGGCATCCCCAATACATATAGTGCACTGCATTGCTGAAAAAGAGTTATGTGTATTGGCAGCCCGTATATCATGAATAGGCCGCCTCGGCACTCCACAGGGCCTCATGCACACGATGATAAAAGCTGCGGCTGGGCATTGCTGCAGCAAAAATCTCTGTCGGTACAGATGCGGCCGCTGTGTCCAGTTAATGATAGGCTGCCGGCATCTGTCCCTGGTTGTCTACATGTAATCGTATATGGAACCATTACCTCAGGGTTGCCCATTAGGTAGATTGCAATCTTCCAGTAGATCGCAAAGCAAACAATGGTAGATCGCGATCAGCTCACTGACCTGAGCTCCCTCCCGCGTTGCTGGTGCGGTTGAAAGTGTCAGACGCCGCAGACGGCAAGGGGCGGGACACCTCTCCCTGTGTGCAACGTCGGCTGATAGACATAGCAGATAGAAACAGTGGAGAGAGCGAGGAGAGAGAGAGAAGAGACGGCCAACAGAGTGGGCCAGTTCGCACCACGAAGTCTGCGTTCCAGAGTGTTTGGCCTCTAGAACGCACAGAAACGCCAGGCGGCTTGCAGCATTTTTGCAGATCGCACTAGACCGGAATGCAGGCACTACTGTGGGCGTGGCTGCCGTGCCATTGACTTCAATGCACCGCCATGCCCCTGAATGCAGGAGAGTTTTCATTGGTAGATCTCATTGAGCTCGTCATTTGAAAAGTAGATCTCCAGAGGAAAAATTGTGGGCACCCGTGCATTACCTGCAGATTGGGAGAGGTGCTTCTTCTGTATCCAGGGACAAAGGTCTCTCCCGATGCTGTATGGACACACCTGGGATTCCTGACACAAGAATTTGGAGGTTCATGCCGCAGGAATGCCCAGACGGAGCTTCAATTGCTGTGTGCATGAGGCCTAAGGGCCCAGTCACACCGCATCCGGTGCGTTCCAGCACAATTCGTGGCCTGAACGCATAGAATCGCAGAAATCAAGCCGGGCTGTGTTCTGGGGTGGGAGGGGGCGTGTTAGTGCCATTCCTGCCCCTTGCCTGCAGTGTAGTCAGAAAAAATAGTACATGCATTTTGTCCGATCACACTGCACTGGAACGGAGGGCATTCCTGTACCTCGCTGTTCGGTGCGGGCAGGGGTAGTGTCTGCAGTGCCATTGACATGGATGACACTATCTTGCCCCAGAACGCGGCTCGACTTGATTTCTGCGATCCGGCCACAAATCGTGCCGGGACGCACTCAATATGGTGTGACTGGGCCCTCCAGGATTGGAAAAATATGAATGGGGCCCTCAACTGTAAATCTACCCCCAGATTTGACATTTTAGTTTTGGGCAGATGCAGTCATGGTTTGATCGCCCACTGGCTTCTTGGGGTGTCTACTGGAGTGAACCCCTCAACTCCTCCAAAGTAAAGATCTTGGTCAGCACATGCAGATTCTGGTAAAATTCACATTGAAATGATTCTGACCACTAAAGTGTCAGTTTTGTGGCAGTTTGAAGCAGCTTTTGATCACGGCAAAGAACAAACAGATTAACACGACCGGCCATTTCTTAGATAATGGTGGCGGCGCGTTACCTGGAACCATCTGGTCCTTTTTACAATAAAAATATGGTTGATATTGGCTCCACATTTCCAACTGTAGCATTATATTTGGTATTAAAGCCCAAACCCAGTCCTTGTCCTTTCTTTTAGTTTTATATAGAGCTGGGAAGGATGAGAACGCTTGTCAGATTGTAAGCTGTCCCTGTAGTAGAAACGTCACTTCATTTTCTATTCTGTCTGCCATCACTTGGGCAAAAGTGAAATGGAATCTGTCTAATGGATACATGGACAGCAAAAAAAAAGCTGACGGAGGTTCTTACACTCACCCACCCTACTAGAAAAATAAGTTTTATTGCTGTCTATGTCCCCAGTGCAGAGATTTCCGCTTACATCCTGTTCTGTCTCACGCCTGTCAGAGACCCGAAGGGGAAGTTGCCCAAACAGAGTGTGACAGCAATGAAATGTTGATGAATTTCTCCATTAGAACGATGGTGGCACACGTGCAGGGGGGGAAGAGCATGGCAGGGACACACTAGAAAACGAGGAAAGAAGTACTTTAAAAAAAAAACTCCACAACAGCCTCCAGCAAAGCAGGGTCTCCTTAAAGGAGAAATGAAAAAAAAACATTTGGCTTTAATATCACATAAAACATATTTCCATTGAGGTTGTCTTTGCAAACCTCTCCTGAAAATATTGGTTCCCTAGATCTTATATTGATCTAATGGTTTGATGGGTCTGGGTCAGTGACTCAAAGTATTGAAGCCAGAGGATCACCATGACTGCACATATTTTCCAAAGGAGGTCATCAGTGGCAGCCATCACATTTCTCACATGCATATGTACTTAAAGGAGAACTATGACATGAGTGATTTCCACTCACCTCATAGTTCTAGCCGACCTGTGACAATGAGACTGTCACAGGTCGGCTCAGTAGATCGGGAGGTGAGCGAACACATACCGGGTTCGCCCCCCTCTCGATCCTGTCACGGCTCTCTGCCGTGACAGGGGGAGGGGCTGGATTCCCCTCTCCCCGCTCCGATCTGCCAGTGCTGACTGGCGGAACGGACGGGGGAGGGGGCGGGTACAGCTGGCTCTGCCTCTAGATAGGCAGAGCCAGCTGTCACTCATGCAGCTGGGCGGATCCCGTCATCTACGTCGGGATCCGCTCCGACTGTGGCGTCTCAGTATACCGCGAGCTGTAGCTCGTGGTATACTGAGCTTAGGGTAACGGGAGGACGCTAGTTTGTGTCCTCCCGTTACCCTAAGGAGAACTATGGGGAAAAACACTGACCCCTTTGGTACAAATGATGTAATGTGCCCAAGCATTATATCCATGGAATGGTTTCATTAGCAAAGCATTGTTGGGAAATCTCCTCTGTAATCTCAGGAGATCTCAGGGAAAGGCATTTCCTCCCCTGGGATGATGTGCATGGTCACATGTCCTAGTCACATGTGCCAGTAATCCAGGAAGTAATAGGAGAGCTAGTGATCTGCCCTTAGTAAACATGGCCACTGTCAGAAGAATGGGAAGAAAAGAGAAATCCGGAATGCAAAGAATACAAAGCCGGCAATTATCTAGAAGTATGTGATTGTAGATTGTCATTACTAAACATTTCTAAAGGTGTGTTTGTTGTCATTTCAAAGATCTGAGTAAAGTTCCTCTTTAATAGTCATTTTAACCATTGTTACCGCACGCTATAGTTTTCCACGCTCACTTGTCTGCCATCTTTTTCAGCGAGTAAAGCAGCGGCCGAGGCAAGAGGAGGACGGGCGGGACAGGAGTCGGCTGCAGTCAGCAGCCTATCAGGAATAAGTTTGCAAGAAGCCCAGCAGATTCTAAATATCTCCAAACTGAACACAGAAGAAATTCAGAAGGTAACAGGAAATGTTGTTTTATCCTGCGCTTGCTTCACGCTAACATACCTGCTGGAAATGTTTTGTAGCGTGACGTTGGCCTGCATTGAGCTGAGCTGTCACAAGATGGAGCTGTTACAAATGATTATATTTGCTTTCCTCTTCTAACACATTGTCAAACACATCGCACTAAAGACTTGTAAAAGAATAGGAAGTCGGAGTAACTGATAATGGAATGGTGACCCAAAATTAGAGAATTCCCTTCCAGTCAGAACCATACAAAAGATTTTGGGGCTCCGGGCCTAATATGTCAAATGTGAAGCAAAAGTGGTGCCCAGTCACAGGAATTATTGCAAAGGTTGGTGTTACCGGTAGTGACCTAAGAAGAAACAGCACACCACAGGAATGTGTCCAAATGTCTTTTTATTGACTCGTACTATCACAGATAAAGTGCAACATTTCGGGGCCACGCATGGTCTCTTTCACCAGGCTCAGTATGTTGTTTTTGGGTCGATGAATAGTTATGAAATAAGTGTACAAAGGAAATGAAGGTCCCAGAAACCAGACCAGACAGGTGACACCTATATGCAGTATAGAAATAAAACAAGAAGTCTAACCTTCTTTTTATTTATTCTGCAGAGCTACGACCACCTTTTTAAAGTCAATGACAAAGCTGTAGGAGGGTCCTTCTACCTGCAATCCAAAGTAAGTAGCTGTTGTTGTCTCCTCGTCCTCTCCCTCCCTCCCCCTGGAGACTTCCCCTCCTTGTCCTCTCCTTACTTTCCCTCCTTATCCTCTCCTTACTTCCCCTCCTCGTCCTCTCCCTCCCTCCCTCCCCCTGGAGACTTGTCCTCTCCTTACTTCCCCTCCTTGTCCTCTCCTTACTTCCCCTCCTTGTCCTCTCCTTACTTCCCCTCCTTGTCCTCTCCTTACTTCCCCTCCTTGTCCTCTCCCTCCCTGCCCCTGGAGACTTCCCCGCCTCGTCCTCTCCCTCCCTCCCCCTGGAGACTTGTCCTCTACCTCCCCCTGGAGACTTCCCCTCCTTGTCCTCTCCCTCCCTCCCCCTGGAGACTTCCCCTCCTCGTCCTCTCCCTCCCGTCCCTGCATACTGAGATTTCTAGCACCTAGATTGATGAATCGGTTCTCCGAAGTTGTTAATACATCAGTTTTATATGTATAACCAGTAAGATGTCAGCCACACAGGAAGTGCATTGTTTTCAGTGGGTTGGCCATATAAGTCCATGTCAAATGCAAAACTGTTTGTTTTTCTTTTTCCCTTGGGGCCCCTGGGAGCACTTGGAGCTGACAGTGCCTACCATGAATGTTACATTCTCTAGACTGAGTCATGCAGCTTCCAGCGGAGCCACTTCCTGCCTAATAAGTAACAGGTATGTCAGGGGGGGTCACATGTTCCCCCATACCTACCAAAAAGCCCCCCCTTCCTTAGCAGGCCCTTCAGATGAGTGGGACAGGCACTGAGGGAGCTCTGCTGGGTAAATATACATGCCAGGGGAGGTGGTAGGGCTAGTTCACACCAGCCTCATCCGGCCGCAGTGCGATCGCCCACACCAGAACGCATGGCAAATCAATGCCTGCATTCTGGTCCGGTGCGGTCACACAAAATAGTACATGCTGCATTTTTTTGGGACAGCACCGGGCCAGAACGTAGGCATTGATTTGCCACGCGTTGTGGTGTTGACGATCACACTGCGGTCGGGGGAGCGTGACTGCAGCACCATTGACTTCAATGCACTGCCACGCCCCCTCCCGCACCAGAACGCAATAAGCCGGCCAGGATGCAATCCAGTGCGTTCCGGCACCGAATTGGGCTTGGCAGCTTTCCCCTCACTTCCTGTGCTCACTGGCAGCGGGACAGGAAGTGGAGGAAATGATCCCCAATTGTGACCCAAAACCGTAATAAAAGCCACACTAAGGCCCCAACCCCTCCCCACTCTATCCAAAGAAAAATGTTTTGGCCAAATTTACATATTAAACATTTACTTCACAAATCATAAATCCCAAAAGTCATATCTGGTTTACGAGTGGCAGCGAGGCCAGAAAGTGGCACCCGGTGGCATCGTGTGCGTAGCTTTTCCATGAAGAGAAGCCTCTCGCCAGTGCAGCAATGTGCCAGTATACAGATGTTATTCAGACATGGAAATGAACGGCAGCTGACTGAAAACACAGATTTGTATTATTGGAGTCTTGAGCGGATAATTACATTTTTTCCACATTACTTAGGAAAGTGAAGTTGCCCTTTAATGCACATTGTGTGCGTTAGAGAGTGCTACTGCCCGGCTACCACCTGGTGAGTAGGGGCAGCACTCGGCATACACACACAATGCCCTACGCATACGTGTATTCACATGCAGATGGCAGGATTGGTTTTACATTTTGTTTTGTTTTCATTTTTAGTTATTTTGTTTACTTTTTTTATCTTAACTTTTTTTTTGAATTTTTTTTAATCACTTTTTAAATAATTTTTTTATAGACTTAACTTTATTGCTATCGTACCGGGGATAACAAGCCCCTACGTGATGGCGTTTGGAGGTGACAGATTCTCTTTATGGAGCCTGTCCTCCAATACAGAAGATCGAGCACAATGCTGTGCTCAATCTTCTGTACAGCCCGACATGTCACAGCTGTGAGTACAGCGCTCCTGTCTCACTGATCACACAGAACTCCCCGCTCTCCATCTTGAAATCATTGCCATAGTCCCCAGAAGAGTGGGGGCCCCCAAAAACCCTGGCAGGGAGGGGGGTGTCTCTGCAGGGGGGAGGGACCTGGGAGGGGTGGACAAGCAGGCTGCTATACAAGTGATCTGGACAGCTATACAGCCGCCCAGATCACTTGTACAGAACGGTTCCCCCGCTCTGCATTTAGTCCTGGTTGCCAGAGCTAAATGTAGAAAAAACCCACCCGGCACCCTGAACTGCATGTCCCGGGCGACAGGAATTCCGCACCCCTGGCTCCTTTTCCCTCCGGTGTCTTAGCATTGAGGACAACCAGAGTCACATTTGGGCTTATTTATCAACACTTCTGTAGAGATTTGTGTTCCCCAAAGTCACCAGATTCTCCCCGGGTCCATTGGGTGATAAAAGGATTTCTTTTGGGTGGTTCTTTCTTCAGACACATTGATAATGAAGATTTCGGGTTATTATTATTTTTTGTAGGTTGTCCGAGCCAAGGAACGGTTAGATCAGGAGTTGGTGATACAAAACAAAGGAAAAGATCCTACAGAGGAGGCCAAGACCACGTGAGGCCCAGCCCACGCCCCAACCTTCACTGTACATGGCTTGCGAGAGAACGGGACCTGGACCTGGACCTGGACCTGGACCTGGACCTGGACCTGGAGGCCTCAGACCACATGTTTGAGTATTCCCACTTCTGCCATCCTCAGCTTGGAAGTGTATTTTAATTTATGGGTGTTATTAAAGCTTTATATTTTTGTAGGTTATTTCAGTAAATCTTTAGAGCACAAAGTGCACATGTCTCCTCCTCACCTCGGGGGGGATTTGTGATGTACAATGCAGTCATGGTGCGCGGTTAACCCGCTCATTTTAAGGATTGTCTAAGTTCAGGTATGACGCACACTGAATGTGCTCTTTGCTGATTGGCTGCTGTTAGTCAGGTGGCACACTGATGCCTTGCCATGATTGGCCTTTGTAAGGTCTAAGCTACACAGAGGATTTTAGTAGCTCAGCCATGCTATCAAATGTGCCTGTGATGAAAGGAAGCAGCTGTGATTGAGACTTGGAGGCTGCCAATGGCTGTCGCGCAGACTATCCATACCCAGAACACGTATGCGGATAAGAACAGACATTTCTGATCTGTATGTGTTCCAGATCAGTGACTCAGAAAATAGTGAAGCCGGGGGATCAGCATCACAGCAGACAACTGGCATTTTCAGAAGGAGGTCAAAAGTGGCAGCCTCCATGTTTATCACACTTTAGTAGCCTTCTCTTACTAGCAGATGGAGCACATGGTGTCCGGTGGTGAAAGCGACACAGAAGTGACTACTTGTGTATTATCCTACAATGCCGGGAAGGTGGGTGTCCCCTGCTCTATGCCACCGCAGGAAGCCATTCCTCCCATCTGTGAGCAACTGCTCGCTGTTCTTACTCATCATCATTGCAGGCGATTTCAGTAGCATTATTGAGCTGAGTTGCCGATGTAACTTGGACCGGCCCCGGGGCCCCCCCAGGCTGTTTAGCGGGATGGAATCCATCTCACAATCTGATACTTTAATCATTGATTTGTTATTGTCTCCTGAATAAAAGCATTGAACACAAAATGATTTCCCATTGACATATTACAACCTGATACACAGACGGTCTTCTTTAGGGCCCATTCACATTGCTGTGCTGCGGTAATGCAAGTTTTAACACACATGTACCGTGGTGCTTTGCCGTGCCATTCATTTTGATTTCCTCTCTAACACTAATTCAGAAATCATGCGCAGTAGCAGGCTGAGCGCCGATCACGTGAGCGCTGTGCACACAGGAGACGGCAGATCTGGCTGAGGGACATCTGTGGTACGTTAAAGAATGCTGAGGATCTATGTGAGGGGAATGAGGTGTCTGCTGGGTGGGGGTCGTGTCGCTATATTATCAGATTTGTTTGCCCGGCTCAACACTGATTGGCTGGGAAGCCGGCTTCCTGGCCAATCAGCATCAAGCCGGCCAAACCGCATGGAGCCAGCTCCATCTTTCCTTGCGGCACTGCCGGTCAGAGGAAATCTCCCTCTGGCCGGAAGTTCCAGTATCGGGAAAGGTGTCGGAGCATCTAGACGAGTACTCACCCAAATATTCGGTATCGGCACCAATAGTATCGTTATCGTCCCTAGTGCTAACCTTTCCTTAGTAAGTCCCAACACTAAAAAAAAATTGGATTTAGATACACTTTAGCCCCTTCTGTATGCATATACATGGCAGCGTGGTGCTGGGCTTTGACGCCATGCTGCCACATATACGCTTCGCTGTTTTGTGCTGGGAGCGCGCTGTATCTTGGGCCCCCAACACTGTGACCTAGCTGTCACCAACAGCTCCCAGTCCTGTTTACAATTGGGAGGTGGTAGGACGTGTTAATGATGATGTGATGACTGACAGCCAATGACATGTTCAGGAGCCCGCCTCCAGTGTGGAAGGCTAAAGCTGGCCATACACCTATAGATGATCTGCAGACTTTCTATGTGATTCCTCCATCTACGCTAAACTGTGTGGACGGAGAAATCTCCCGCTGGGCCAAGCTTCACTATCTTGCTAGTCGGCCCCACTGGCTCTCAAAATACCTAAACAGTCTGATTGGATGCCGGCATTGTTCCGGTATTCTGAGAGCCAGCGGGGCCGACTAGCAAGATAGTGAAGCTTGGCCCAGCGGGAGATTTCTCCGTCCACACAGTTTAGCGTAGATGGAGGAATCACATAGAAAGTCTGCAGATCATCTATAGGTGTATGGCCAGCTGCAGTTTACCTTTTGGGCCATGTTTGGTGTCACATGCATATTCAGTGTATAACATGAAACATGGTCACGTTCCTTCTTCCTCCTGTCCATGTTACATGCTAACCCTGCCGGCCCCGGTACAGACAAGGACAGAAGGATGAATCCGCTGATAGCAGCTGCAATGCTTTACTGGCTCTAATATAAAAAAATTATAACTATACAGTGCGCATTTATAACTTGTTTTCCAAAAAAAGGGACTTTACCTTTTAAGAGTCACAGAAGTGAGGTTCCCCTTGGCCAAGAAGTGCAAAAAATGGCCATTTAAAGTATATTCATCTTTTTTTCACATGAGCATTATATCGTGCTTGAAGGTAACTGGCTAGTAAAAAAAACCACGATGAAATGACTGGACGCGGACACGTGACTTCTTTGCTGTCGTCTTTTTATTAAGTTTTAATAGTTGAATAAACGCCCCCATTTCAGGGAGGCATCTCGTTGGCAGCTCGCCCCCCTTTGGGAGCTTACTGGACAATCTCCGCACTCGAGGGGGCGGTCTCGTCATGTTGCAGTCACGCAGCACCTCTCACGCACACCGATGCAAGAGCTGTCTTCACTTGGACATGGAGGAGGTACAGACATAAAGAGGGGCGGGAGACTTGTTATGATACAGAAGGCACTTCATCCTGGCCGCCTGCAGATCATTACTCCAGTAGCTGGAGCCAATCAGAGCATCACTCCCTTAAAGCAATGCTTATGCTCTCTGTCACACGGGGCCAATGTTCTGGGCTCATCTGCTGTACTCGAATACAGTAAAAGACAAAAAGCTACTAGAACAAATAATACTCAGCTAGTAGATTTAAAGGGCAACTCCAGCAAAACACTTGCACAAGGCAAAGGATTCATTTGGGGATTCTCCCAACCCTCCTGTCCTGTTTAGGAGGAAACAACACTATTCCGCTCCTAATTCCCTAGACCCCATGTGACTGCCCCTTCTTATTGCTTGGACTATTAATAAATACCACCTACGGTAAGTACTTACCCTCCCACTGCAAGTCTAATATCAATGTCAGAATTTAGGACACAGTTTGGGTAATTAAACCAGCCGAGTTCAAATATTATTCAATGACTTTTGAGGAAATACATTAACCATTCCGCTGCCTGCTTCTGTATTCGGCTGGAGTTGCTCTTCGTGCAATAGATGTACATACAGCAGTTTCATCTTCTGTCAGGTTGTTGGTTCTATCAGATACAAAGCAGATCATACATGTTGTATTTGTTTAGTAATTAAATAAGAAATCTCATTTGCTCTGGATACAGTTCAGTTTGATGCATCGTGTACAGACAATGGAGGAAGGGAAGATGATGGACCTTCACATCTGGACAGGTTCCTATGGATTTACTATAGGGGGGTAAGGTGTCACCAGTGACTGATATTGCCAGCAGAAGAAATACTCCAGCAAAGGAACCCCTTCCTCCTGAGGAATCACTACCTGGCTGGCCGGGAGCTCAGTAGATTCTCACTCCATAGCAGAGGAGCAATGAGGACACAACTTACTATTCCAGCCAACAAAGGCAACGAGCTCTCAGCAGCTGCCCCTGCATACATTCCGCAAGCCTTTTGATGATGTCACAAGAAAGTCATAAAGCTCTTCCATGGTAAAAGAAAAACATAATCCTTTGATTTGCTCTAAATCAGGGGTAGGCAACCTCAGCACGCCAGCTGTGGTGGAACTACAAGTCCCATGAGGCATTGCAAGACTGAAAGCCACAGACATGATTCCCAGGGGCGCACCACAGCTGGAGTACCGAGGTGGCCTACCCTGCTCTAGAAGGGAAAAGGTTTTGGGGGGTAATTTTGGGTAATCTCTGGACATGCACTCTAAGCTCCTCTTACCAAATGGATCCCTTGTATGGCAAGTAACTGAACGTTCCATATTGTATGGACAACACAGTTTGGTACGGGCCCTACCGAGGGGCTCTTTAAGTAAAGGATGGCTGCATTATACAGTAGCCCAGTACACAGTGATTGATGTAAGAAAGGTGTCATCATCCATACTGCAGGTTATGTGACACCCTGAGCTACAAAGAAGGAATTTGATTCGTTGTCATGTGACTCCTCAAATTGTCTCTCCGCCCAGCTTCCATCAATCCGCCCCGGTGTTCATACATTACATAATACATTACACAATGGCTGATAACCAAGACAACATGCTTTAGAAGGCAAACTGCAGTTACTTTGAATCTCAATCTAAGCAAGAGATCCCATCCTACAAGCAAACGCAGTCAGCTCTAGTAACGTATCATAACCCCTTACCAACCAATCAGAATCCACCAATCCACTTCTGATGGGTTGCTACTGGACACTGCATTTGACGGTTCCCTTTACTTTATTAAGGCTGAACTCCAGGCAAACAGGTGAAACATATCAGAGCTGTCTGGCATTTGTAGTTCCATTCATTCAGTCATGTGACGCAGTTGCTCCTGCTTAGTGACCTCACTTTTCTCCACTGCTGTGAAGCAGTACAGCTTGGTCACCAGCAGATACCAGAGCAGCATGCTGACTTGGCAATGAAGGAGCAGCAATACATTGATGGGCTCATCCCTCTGCTCACTGCTGCCATGAGCCTATTCCGGAGTGTGGACTGGCATCGCTGTACAATGCAGCAAAACTTGATCGGCTCAGACTGCTGCCCGTCACGCTCTCAGTCTTACTATGTAGGGATTTGCAGGAGGCTGATACGAAAACAGATTTTGGTACATACTGTATGGTAGCTCCATACAAAGACAGAATTCATATATTTTTAAAGGTTGATTTGATGAAATAATGTTTGTTGTGCCGGCCTGGAGTTCAGCTTTGAATGGAGTAAAAGGCATAAATGAGCCTTCTAGGAGTCCAGGTCTAAAGTCTCCGCACTGCGGCTTTATTAGGTTTTTAATTTGTTGTATATCAGATGAGAAAGCCAAATCGAAGACGGGAAGGAAAGTCATTTCAACTGAAACCCGAAGTCCAGAGACAAACTGCAGCCATTGCGAGAGGCAACTTAGCTGGGGACCAGGGAAAGCTGAACATTTTACTGCCACAGTTTTCCTTTGAGCCCAAAACATGAAACATTTGCAATAGCCTGAACCTCTTTATAAGGATACATCTGCGTAGAATACTCTCCTCCGAAAACCCCAAATCTCGAGCAGGAGGCGTCTGTATATGTCAGTCATGGG